GGTCTACCTAAAAGAGCAACCTTCTAGTTCGTTTGTGGGACAGCTGCTGAAACAACTGCAGCACCACCTCTTCCACGGGGTTAGCTGTCTCCCAGCGTGACACCCAAGGCTTGTCTGGCTGCACTGCAGGAACAGCGCTGGTTCCCTGCCCGGCTGTGAGAGGGACCACAAACACAGCTGAGAGCCAAGCCCTGTCTTGAGGAGCGTGACCAAGTTACCAGTAGCTGAATTCTGCGAACGTGGTTGTAAGTAGAATGGAGAACTCAGTCTGGATCATGGGGGTTTTTTGCTGCATAATCATAGCAAAGATGGCTCAAAATGGAAAAAAAGCATTATATACACACATACTTTTAATTAGACCCCAAAATAATTTCAGAAATGTGCTGTCACATTTCACAGATGCAAGACACTCTAAAATAGCCGAGAGCAAGCTTGAGCACAAGTTACTAGCTTCACCTTAAAGCACTGTGCATTTTGCTTATTCAAGAAATCAGATGATCCTCGTCCACCCAAGATTTTAGACCTCAAGCCAGTATGATCACCTTGTTTTAGAGCTGTAATATCCCAGTGCAAGTCACAATATTTTTAAGTTGGTTAGTACAGATTATGGTAGAAATTTAAGAGAGGAAATACAACATTTCTTGAAGAAATTAAAGCTGATTACAAGAGGACCACATACATCACTATTAAATTAGACTACTTCTATCTTCCACATAAAAAAAAAATCCTCCTTAGTAACAGCATAAAATTCCATGTTTTAGAAAAGCATACATAAAGTAACATTAGTACATTTTATTTCAAAAGACTTTGTTGTCTCAACTCGTTAGCAATGCTCCAATACAGGTTAAGACTTGTTCATAAAGAGATCAATCACAGGCATGCAGCAAACATTAAACAGGCATGCCAAGTACAAATCCTCTTAAGAGATTTTTTTTTTTTAATGTAAACTGGAAACAGTAAGCACGAAGCATCTGTACAGCAAACATAAAACAGCTATGTCATTTTTCCCTTATTCATCTCAAGACCTTTTGATCTGGCAACTGGAAAATAACCTTCATGTTGCTGTGCATCAGAGACACGTTCCTAACCAAACTGAGTATGGATGTGTGGAAAGTCTTAGGACGAAGGCAGATTCTTCATGCTCAAATCCACACGACCCTCTAAGACCACTGCCACCTCCCTAGTGGCAGCAGCACACTCATTAGAGGAACACTCAGTGACACCATCAACACTGAACACACCAAAAGTGACAGTAACCTCTACTGTGTCCTGAAGTAGACTACAACAGGCCCCCCCCATTCTTTAACTGACTAAATACCAATCTTCCACATTGTAGGAGGAACCACTAAGACACTTCAAACAAGAGTGTAACACATGGATCCTGTGCACCAGAGTCTTCCAGGAGAATTAAGGAAAACATAGTTGCTGACTAGAACTGAAGGTACATCTGTCCCGTACTGCAAAATTAGACTCGTACAGCCTGCAAGAGTGCAGCACATCAGACGATCTTAGAAGAACTACAAACAGGGTATTGCACTACAGCAGGGATATCCACTTACTGGCAAGTCTGTAAATACGTATGCATCTTCAGGACAACCACACACCAATCATCAGGAGGACGGCAATATAGGACAAAATGCAGGGCTCTGTTTAATTATTATTTTTTCAAATATTTAAAACTTTAGCTTCAACAACTCTTAACAATTTTAAGTTTTATAATGGCTTTAGATATATTTAGGACCTTAAATACTAAACTCTCAAGGAAGTTTAATTAGGATTGTTACAGATACAGAAATGACAATGTTAGAGGTCTTGCAGTCCAGGAGAATCTATGTTAATGAAAACAGACTTAAGATACAAACTTATTTCCTAATTTTTTTTTGTAGGGTTCCTGCCTCCCTCTCCAAAGAGTTCTCCAGAACAAAATGCTTTTCATTCAGGCTGTGCAAGAATGCAGTGCAGGAAGTAAGGTTTAAGCACAGCCACTGAACCAATGAATAGTATGCACACAGAGTCTAGGCACTATTCTCTTCAAAGGTTTCTTTCACTTCAGAAAATTATTGCTCAGCTGCCCATAATTGTGCTTTTCACACTCATCTCCAAAACACATGGCCAGATTTAGCAGACCACAAGTGAAGCTCAATGGCCCGGTAATTCACACAAGAGGAAGTAGGCAGCTTACACACCAAAATTACTAAATCTCATCTTCTACAAATAAGGGTTGCTGCCACCATTTTGGGAAGCGATGGTTCCACTGTTCACAGCTGCATTAGGTAGATGTAGGCTCTGAACAGACAATTCAACAAATTTATTTATGCAACACCTCACTCCAGTGTACCAGCTAGAAGAGTCAGCTGTAACAGCCTAATATAACCACGACCAGCAAGGCTGTGAACTTGAAACAGCAGCTCCTACATCCAACTGCATTTTGTGGTTAAGCTTAAATATCTCTGAGGCAGCAGTCTTGGAGATCTGGAGGCCACAGACTTCACAATATTCCAACAAAAAGAAGCCACCACTCTGCAGTCTGAGCTTACCCAGTCTCAAGTTCTACTAGTGAGTTTTAAAAGTGTTTTCTACTATTAGCTCCCTTTTACTGCCTCGACAACGACAGGCTGCATCCTTTACCATTTTTTAACCTATTTTGGAATAGATGGAAAGATTGACACCTGCCTTCACTGTGAAAACAGGTTTTCATGGCAGCAATTTAAACAGTTCTTTCCCAAAGTCTTCCATGTTTTTCAGTGTTCTTGAAACACAGATATGTATTCCAAATAGGCTGAGCTTTGACAAAGAAGTTTTAGTATTAATGTAATAAAACATGAAATTGTTGAGGCCCTTCCTCTAGAACCTGCACTTGTAACAAGGCTAGTTACAATCTTATTGAGACACTGCTCTAGTTTAGAACACTTCAAGGACAAAAATTTCTGCTTTCCTTCTACAAAGACTGACTGCTGCCACAACAAATCTCACCTATTTAAACTTCAAGTGTGTTACTTCTTATTCCCTCTCCTTTTAATTTTGTCCTTCAAAGGTCAAAACACAAGGAGCCCCACTAGAGCATAAAAACCAAACCACCTATAAACTGCAAGGTTCCTCCCGTCAGAAAGGACTTTTAAATGAGAAGGAAGAATACAAAGGTTTTTCTGATTTATTCCAAGCAGAATGACTACGGAGACATGACTCAAGCTTAGGTAGTAAAAGTTACTGGAATGCCATCTGAAATGAAGACTGACTCAGTAGCACATGAGACTTGCTAATCTTTTGTTAATCTCCAATTCAAAAAGCACTAGAAGTACTCATTCAATACCAGTCAAACAGGAGAAGATACTGCTTGTTTTTCCTGTTGGGCAGGAGAGCAAACTTTAAATGAGAACATCATTTTTTCTGGCATTTGATAAAGTGAAAACCACTAAGTGCTATGTACCCCCAAAGCATTAATTACTCCAGCATCTATGAATAAGGACTAGGTAAACTTGCAGTACAATGGTTTTATTCTGCTAATGTTCAAGACCTGCATAAGACTTAATTCTTTGGATTTTCATTCTGTGTGCTGGTATTTCATGTTCTGCAGCAGGAAGGCATTCCCTTCTCCTCCTCTTTAACATATTATGCCTTTACAGTATACAATCTTCTGGAACATCCTTTCTCTGGAACAGTTAAGATCTGTAACACCAAGCAGAATTTGTGGAGATTGAGAGACTGGACACTGGATTCTTACAGGTGCAACTGTCTAGACAGACCAGACAGAGAAAGAAATTATGATATGAACGCTCCACAGTGCTCCCCTAATTGTTGCTAGTGCCATAAAGGCTCATATCTGAATTCAGAAATAATAAAAAAAAAAAGTTCAAATGAGTTAAAATTGAGCATTTCTCTTTAGAAAGGCAAGTCTGACCAGGAAACAAAATATAGGCACAGGTGACATTAAGTAATATAGTTTTGCTTATTCCTGATATTTACATAGGTAGTCATCAATAATAAGTTATTAATAACTCTTAGCAGTAAAGAAGTGTCTATTTCTTTCCAGAGAATACATGATATTATATGAAGTTGTTTTTTTTTAACATTTCCCACTATTTTTATGGTTTCCCAGCTCAGCATGTTTTGAATAGCTTCAGAGAAAATTTCTGTCTATCTCACAAGGAAGATAAGAGCTGCATGTTTCACCAAATGAAGTCATTTCATTCTGTAAAGAGACACGTCTTAAAAGTAGAATACCAAATGCCTACAGCTAACTAAAACTAGATGAAAAGCACAGTGGAACAAACCCATTATAACCTCAGGTTACACTGAATGAATTGCCTGCTATAAAAATAGAATAAATCAGCTTTCTGTACTAACACTCAAACTCCACTACAAAACCCTCAATATCGACCGTTAATCACAGCAAAACTTTTCATACCAGGAAAAAAAAAGGTGAGTGTAGAGCTTGTTCCTTTCCTTGCTTCTGCAGCTAACACTACCAGCTAATTAAAGCACTCTGCTTGCCAACTTTAAATGCACAGTCATGGCAGAAGCCAACTCAATGTCTTTCCCCTTCACACGGTAACAGAAGAGATACAAAATCCCATGCCCTTCCTTCAAATGTTTTGGGAGTACTATGTAAGACCTAGATGTTTAGCACTTTCTCCGTAATAGCAGCCTTAAGGAGTTCAGCTTATTTTAGTCCTACTATGCTTAACACTAACACTTCATAGTCACTGCAGTAAATTTTAGAGAAGATCCAGTTACTTACTCAGCAAACAATTTAGGTCTTATCATGCTGCTACTATGATACACCTACACAAAAGACTTAAGCTCTAGTCTTACAGCTACACAAGCTAATCTACATCAAGCTAATCTACTGATTAATTAGCTAATACTTCATCGTGTAGATTTTCCAATTTATTCAATCAGCAGTGAGCTACACTTGCCACAAAACAGTTTAGAGATTCTTTAGTAAGGCTGTTGTGCTAGTTTAAAACTTAAGCTAAAGCATTTCGGATACCCCCAAAAATATATGAATAAACTTTTATTTTTAAGCAACAACACGCACTATTGTAATACTACCCACACACTTCAGTCAGGTGGAGAGTACTAAACTGAACAATCATCACTAAAACATTTCCATTGGAAATGTGCTAAAGTTCACACACGTCTTCATTACTACCTGACTGAAGCTTTCTTATGTGTTTCTAGTCTACACACCATATGTTTCATGCAGTCATGCAAATCCAAATCAAACTTTAAATGTTCAGGTAACAGGGAAGTCCATTCACTGCAAAGATTCATTTTTCACAGAAGGGCCAGGCCAGGTAAGACCAAATACTGCAGGGTTCTTCACAAGCATACAGGTATTTTAGAAACCATGGACTTTCAGTTGTTCTTCCTTGACAATGCCAATCTAAAGGAGAAAAGCAACATATTTCAGTAAAGCTTATATGCTTAGGATATTACAGTGATATCAAGTTACCACAATCTTATACTTTGATTAAAGAAACTGCAATACAGCATAGACTCAATAAAGAAGTCTTCTGGTTTCCAGAATGTTTCTGGGCCAAGCAGAAGAACTGACTACACAACAAAGAGAATCTTACCAGACATGTGACTTGCTCTGCAGTCCTAGCACTTATTCTTTGACAGTGTAATATCTCTAGATCATGATTTGCATCAGTAAGCTAGTGGCAATAGCCTGTTTCCTCTATAGTGTTTACAGTCTCAAAATTATGGTTTTCATCAAACGCTTGACTTTACAAATGAAGAACTCAAGTTGCACTGCCAGAGAACAAGTGCTATGTTGTAGCAGGGTAAATGCATTCTACACTGCTTTGATTCTTACCAAAGGTTTACTCTCTTTCTGCAAGTGTCATTTTACTTCTTGGCTGAAAATACAAAGCAACTATAGTGGACACCTTTAGCTGGTTAATTAACATCAGTGCCATCTGTCACTATTACTTCCAGAGAGGTTTAGATACTCATCTGCAGTCCCTCACCTCCAAGAGGAATTGGCAAATGTTCTTCCTCTGGTCACCCTGAAGCTGGATAACTTCACCGTATTCAGGATGTTCAATCACAGTACCATTACAAGCGAATTTCTAGAGAAAAACAATCACATTGTAAGACATCTGATGTACATCACGATTTTGCTTAGTAAGTCTTTTCAGCAGAACTTTGTCACAGAAGCTGTTTCCTAAATTCTGATGCCAAGCAAGGCAAAGGCTAGATCTATTTTACACTGGTTTTGAGAGCAAATACAATATATCTGCTGACGCATACAGACACAGCCTAAGCTGCTGATGGTAAATTCAGGCAAAGACAGGATTAGCTACTGTGCAGAAGGAACTGGCCAACACTCATTACAATAACAAAAAACAAAGTCTTTAGATACAGCCTTTGAACTCCACACTATTTTAAAATAAATATTTTCATCCTAGTGTAACAAAGAAAGATATTTGAAATTTTAGTGAAACATTCAGAATATATTTTATTTATTTCTTTATAGGATCAGTGTCACTAGACACTGACAGGAGTTCTGAGAAGGACAAGGAAAGGGATCATGAATATGAAAGTGATGTGCATTGGCAAGAATGAAATAAAACAAGTATTCTGTTACTCAGTATTAAAAGCTATCATACTGGTTCATATAGTATCCTTACTGTCAAATCAAATCAGCAGCTTTACCTTTTTGAAAGCTTTCACCAGTTTCTTCTTGTCATAATCATCTGCAATTCCCTGAACTGTTGTTAGTGTCTTTCTTCCGTTTCGCTGCTGGATCCTTATATGAATGTAATCCTCAGTCCCCGCCGGGAGTAAGTCGTCACCCTTTGTTGCATCAGCAAAGGGGTCTGCAGGAGGAGAAAGACTAATGTAATTCCCACAAAGGAAAACACCCAAGCTGGAAACTAACAAGCAAGTTTCTCACTTCACAAAGAGCTTTTTTTGGACAATAATCTTGCTGTTTTCTCCCTCTTCAAAAATACACTGTTAAAATCAGAGTACTTTTTCCTACAGCTGTATTAAGTCTCACTAGTCTACTAACTCAGCATAGCGCTCTCAACTATCATGCAACCAGTTTCTTCAATGCCTTCCCAGATGCAAACAATTTTCAGCTACAGTATCAATTTACTTCACTATTTATTGCAAATTCTAGGTCCTGAAGCTCTGAAGCTCAAAACGTGGTTCCAATGGAACATAAAGTGCACATAAGTTTTAGACAGCCACATGCATTTTAAGTGAAATACTGAAGTTATTAGTTGATCTGATAAAAGATGTAAGTACAGACAAATAGAAAAAGATCTTGTACACACACTCCTTCACAGGTCCAGAATAGAAGTCTTCTACTGTGACAAGTACCACACTACCAGCAGTTTAAGGGATGGATGTAATTCTTGGCTACTAATGTAAACAAAACACAGCAACAGACACTAACAGATGCCAGAGGCTGTCTGTAAACCAGCACCGCTCTGCCAGACAGTAGTTTTAGGCAAGAACTGTAACAAAATTCATTTAGGCTTTGACTACAGAAAGGTCAGTTCTCCAGTTCTTCCAAGCTTAAATTTATTTAGCACCGGTGAAACAGGAAGGCCTTTAGGAAGTAGAAGGGTTTCCAGGTTATACTTCTTATTCTCTGTTCTCCACAAATACCTATTTAACACTCGCTCTGTCAAGAAATTTCATAGCCCTAACAAGTTTCCTAATCAGTAGCTCCAAATAAATCTCAAAGCAGGAAGTATTTTAGGTATTATTTTTTAAAAAACTAATCACAAGTAATTTTTTTATACCAATCAGAATCATATTGAAGAGTCCAAACTTCAGAAAGCGTAGGTTTAACAGCCATGCAAGCTACAGCTTCCCAAGCTTCCATTCAAAACTCAAACCTAAAAAACACTGATGAAGTTTTGCCCTCTACTTGGAACAAACGCCCCGAAGGAGTAAAACTTTAGCAGAAATAGGAACAGAAGTAGTTCAGCTGCAGACAGACTGACCCTTGTAGAAACAAGAATGACAAGAGCATCAAAGGCACTGAAAGCATCGTGACAATACAAGCACCACAGGAAAGTAGTACAGCACTGGGAAGCTTGACTGGCTTAATTTCTACTAAGGCATTTGTTAAAACACACTGAATTTCAATGTGCCCTGCAGATTGTGGGGCAAAAACTAACAGAAAATTTCAGTCAAAGAAAAGGTGAAAGAAAAAGGGGACTTGGGCATGACAATCACTTAGCAGAGCTTAGGATTCCACGTTGGAGATAAGCCAGTGCTGTAGGTGTTAACACCAGACCACTCCAAACAAATCCTTTGTGCAGCACCTTCCTAAGCACAGGATCAGCTCCCAAATCGTGATTAACATGATCTTCTCCTATGGCTTATACGCGCAGAAGAATAGAGACAAAAATGAGACCAAAAGCACGACACTATTATCATATACAGCATCAACCTGTTCACTTCTGTTGCCTATAGATAAGGAAGGTGAAGAACCACGGCCCAGCACAGTAAAATTCCCTACTACTAATACAAGAGAACGACGTACTACCTGTACAGTTCAAGCTATAAGAACAACACCCTTCGCTGTGCATGCATCGGGTTTGGGGGCATTGGTAAGGATATGATGTGGCAGCAAGCAACTGGAACTGAGATGACGACTCCCGTCTTTAGCAGAGGCCACGAACCCCAGAGCCCCTCTGCTCACAAAGATCACAGCGTCGGTACTAATACAAGAGAACGACGTACTACCTGTACAGTTCAAGCTATAAGAACAACACCCTTCGCTGTGCATGCATCGGGTTTGGGGGCATTGGTAAGGATATGATGTGGCAGCAAGCAACTGGAACTGAGATGACGACTCCCGTCTTTAGCAGAGGCCACGAACCCCAGAGCCCCTCTGCTCACAAAGATCACAGCGTCGGGACCGCAGAGCTGGCAGCGAAGCGCAGCTCGGGGTGCTGCCAGGCACCCAGGCACCCAGCGCGGGGCAGCACCTCGCGCGGCAGCGGCCAGGGACCCGCGAGACAGAAGGACCTCCCAGCCCACCGCGAC